GAATTACAATTTATATTTTGTGCATTACTACTGAATCTAGAGTATGTGTCAACAAAATGACGTCACAAATTGATATTAATTTTCTCACTTATCTCAAGAARTAAGCTTTTGAAACAAATTTCATTACGATATATTTATTATTACTAACAAACTATACATTTTAAACGATGAAATGTTTTCGTGTCATATACACTTTAAGTAAACATGCAAGAACTAATTTATCTTATGTGCACCTGGGTCCCCAAAAAGAGAGGTTCCGAGAGAACCAATTTAAGCTATGATGCTCCTCACAAAAATGTACACTGGAGGTATATTTAGTTAAATTTTAATTAACTTATAACTTTTATTTTCAGCTTAAAATCACCATGTTTTAGATTCTTTCTTAACAGTCCTTTCAGCTTGGGCATGTTATCTTCCCATTTAGTATCAAGTATAGTCCTCAGGGTTCGTCCCAAGGTAACCACTTCAAATCCAAGGACTATTCAAGGAGTATACAAGGACCCAAAAATGAATTTTCAAGGAGTATCAAAGGAAAAAAAACCGGATTCCCAAATTGGGAATTCTTGGGAATTTCCTTGAATTCCCAATTTGGACACCAACATTGGGATTTATTGTTGGGATTTATTGTTGGGAGTTTCCTTCTAATACCCAATAGAAAAAACAAAATTCCCAACAAACTAACAATGGGAATCAGTGCCACATTCCCAATTTCATTCTCTCAGGAAATTGGATGGGGATTCGTTGGGAATTAAGGAAATTCCCAACAAATTCCCAATTTGGGAATCCATTTTTTTGTTCAGCTAACTATGAAAAGGTTTTACGTGGTGGTTGCACATGGCGGACTTTCAGATTTTGCGGTCTTTCTGACTAGATCTATTTCAGAACTATGCAAGTAATGATCAAAGCAAAAATTCAGGGAGTGTTCAAGGAGTTTTGCTAAAATCGTAAAATTCAAGAGCTTTTCAAGTGCTCTTGAAAACGTGAATTAAACTCAAGGAGTTTTCAAGGAGTTTAGGAGTAGCACGAACCCTGAATCCTCTTTCTCAAGCTGTAACCCTACTTTGTTCAGCATCAAAGGGGGATGGTTGACAAATAGAAGTATGAATAATTCATACACATAATATACTTAATAGGAAAACATTATACCCAAGCTGAAAAGGCATAAATTTATGGTCAGTATTAAACATTTTTGCTTAAAGTGTTTAGTCACAAAGTAGTAATATTAAGAGAAATCTTAATTGATTTTTCATGCATAATTTAGTAAGAGGGAAGGCTAGATAGTAGTGTGAGTAAAGCATTAATCATGACTGGAATATGTATTTTTTTATATCATTAATTCATAAAATTGTCACTTTAAGTCTATTACATGCCATACTTCAAGTCCATTAGTCTAGTTATTCAAAGACTGATAAGCTGTTTCATGCATGCAATCTTAAAAGTTAATAAATCTGATTCATGGAAGCCAAAATATTCCTTGTCCTGAGCAAAAGGTCAAAGAATCATTTAAGCAAACTTGTGTATTCACCATTTTCCATACATGTATTGGTTTTGAGGTTGCAAGGTCCAAATTTGATTTATCCTTTGAAAGTTTCTTGGCACCTTGCTTGAGTGCTTTGTGTTTGAACAGTGAACCGATGTATGGAAAATGGTGTATACGTAGATGCAGAAAATATCCACATCCTTGATTGGAATTGTTTTTTTACAGGGGATGGTCAAGGTACAAAAGAAAGAGTCAAGGGGAAGGGGAAGGGTTAAAAATGTTAAACATTGAGAAAAGTTTTAATATGTAAATTAGCCATTAACATTGTTAAGAATCCCTTTGAGGGGGTGTGGGTCCATGGGAAGCTTCTGACCACTCCCTGGAATCATCAATGGTACCCTCACAACGATGTTGCCAGGTTACTACCAAGCTTTAGAAAACATGTTTCTTTCTTACCTGATCAGATTCTCATCCACAGATGCAGAAGCAGAAGCACTACTTCTGGAAAGTGCAAATGTTGGAAATATATAATGAATGTGGTTTGCTATGAGGAACTTGAGGATCAGTTCATATGCCAGTAGTCGTCCTTCTCTCCACTCCCATGACTGCGACACAAGGTGCACTGTTGCTTTGGATGAATTATCTGAATAACAAAACAAGGGGTTTAACAATCATGAATGGCCCTTCGAACAACCCACTATTTTATTAGGCAAATATTGGATTGGATTTTAATTTTATTACAAATTTTGATTAAAGGCTGGTACATTTTTAAAATGTGGTGTTTATAATAGACACACATTTGGCAAATAGATGGATCTATATATGATAACATAATCGATATTTCAATTGCCAACCAGAAATCTATTGGACGAATCAACAAAGCAAATTGACAAAACCTATTGTTAAAATGGTTAGCACATTAACATCACAATGCTAATTTTTATAAACATTATTGTCCACATATAAAACTAGCTTTCCTTGACACTCAGAACATTAGATTGGGAAAGGCCTGTTTTACCAAGAAAATCAGGCTCTATCACAATATGATTAAGTGAATTATAATACAAAAGGGTAATGAAAGGTGTACGTACCTTCTAATAACTTCTGTACATTTCTCATACTAATCCTCTGATTCTTCAGTAGTGGATGCTTTCCAGAAACAGACCCTCTTTTACTAGCCAAATGGGATACCCCCTCCACACCTAAATCACAGATGTTAGACACCATAGCCATGTCTGGAGAAGGACTAGCTGTACGTGCTTGAGACGTCGAAGCTACTGATGTTTTTGGTGGCAGAGGGGATATTCTAGTTCTTGTCTCAGGGGTGGGAACCCTGTGGTTGTCAGTGTTTTGTATATATTGATCTCCACTAGTTACATGTTGCTGGAGGTCTGAGGTCAAAATTTCAGTGTCTACTTGCCAGTCTGCTGCTAAACCTTGCAGAACAAGCTTGAGAAGAACTGGACTGCTACTTTCTTTGGCAACTGAAATGTGAAGAAATCATTTGTTCCTTGCCAATAATATATAATACGTCGATAACTCAAGGAGTGATTGCTCAGTCTCTTGAGTAAGAGGCCCATGACTGAAGTGCTTCATGCCAGATTGATAAGGAATTTGGAAAATGATTTTCCAAAGAGAGCAAAAAAGCAATCCTATTTACATACAACAGCAAGTCCAGGAATCAAACCCAAGTCCCTTCATGAGAGGTAACCATTCTCATTGGCACGGCATGCATGAAACCAAACTGAACCTATATGTATCAAAAATTATTCTATGAATAAAAAAAAAGAAAATTACCTAGAAACTTGAATACTGCACTGGTCGCTTGTCGTACAGTAGATGCAGGGTGCATAAGGTAGAGGTTAAAGGTTGAGAAGTAAAGTGGCCATGTTGGAAGTAAATACCCTGGAGGAATGTGCTAGTGAAACAACAAATTAAATATAATGAATTTTTTAATAACTATCTTTGGTGCTACCCAGTGGTGGATCCAGAAAGGTTTCAAGGGGAGGGGGGAGGTGACTGTTACCTAGAAAGGCACACATAGCATCCTTTTCAGGTTTTATCCTATTGTCTTTTCTTATTATTTTTCAACTATGAAGAGGGGTGGCTAACTAGGGAATGCAACCCCTTTTGATCCTCCTTAACTATTATATTCCTGCTATGTCGTTCAGTACCTTGATAAGAAAGACACATACTCCAAGTAGACCCTCAGCTTCATATGCCTCAAGAAATTTAAATTCTGACCTAAGTACAGCCATATGTGGCAGCTCTGTTGTATTGTTTTCTTTAGATTTGGAAGTTTCTTGGATTCCTTTACACAATCTATGTACAACTTCTTGGAAAGCAGAGAAAGCTTGCTGAAAGGAGAAAATGCAAAGGTGACATCAATACATGTGTCTAACAAGAATATAGACCTCTTGAGCTTGTAATGAGTGTAAAGTTTTCCCATTGCAGACCATGTGCGATTCCCTATCATTTTAGAGCAACACCTGAATGTATGACCACCAATAATGTACAAATTTATACTATCATGTTGCCTATTATGCAATCAGCATTGCAGGATTGTCTTATCTTATCTCTGATCTACATGTAAACACTAATAATTGTAAAATGGCAAGACAAAAGTATATATATTATCGGTGGTCATAGTTTGAGCTTTGCGCTGTAACAGTTGCAAATGAGAAGACATATGGATATTAATACACAAACAAAGAATCTTATCTTTGCCAAATAGAGAAAACACAAGGGAAATTGATCTTTTTTGCTCAGGTGGAATGATTATATGTGTCGTTTATTGCATCATTTTTTGTTTATCAAAAAAAAAAATTTCTCAAGGGAATGACAGGTGGTCTGAAATGGGAAAACCTTTTATTTAATATAATGATGAATTATGATAATAACAGTACCTGAAATTCACATCTTGAGAGGATAGAGGAGAAAGCTTTTGTTGCTTGATCTCTGATGCTGAGTTGAGGATGAGCAAGTAAAGAATACAGCACAGAATGAACAGAATCAAGGATGAAAGAAGGCAGTGTACTYTGCTCACACTTTCCAAACTATAACATAACAAACATTCAATCTTYATCTGTTAACTGAGCAGCAAAAAAAGTTACAGCAGAAATGATTTTTGCACAAGGGAAGAAAAACCAGAGAACCAGAAGATTAGACATCTGCACCACAGGAAACAACATACAAACAACTCTAATCAAATGATAATAGGTCTAAGTATCAAACTCATGACCATGGTGGTGAGATGCAGCAAATTAGCAGTGCACACTACCGCCTATTGTATGCTCTCCAGATAACTGCCTCTCATCAGAGTTATACTTAGGATCACCTCCCTATCTCTGTGTTGTGACACAAGTGAAAAACGTCTGCATATGCTCTGAATCCGTATCCAAATTAGTCAAAACATATGTAAATTTGACTTTCAAACATGCCTGATAAATTGGACTTCACAAAATGCCAACAACTTAGTATTCATGCTTGAAACTTAAGGCTAATTCTTTCATATTGTGTTTGTTAAATAATACAGTATCTTGGTCTGACAAAAAATACTCACAAAATATTTTTCATGATAAAACATTTATTTTCTCACTCAAACTTTTGAAATTCTTAGAAAAAGTGCTAAAATGTATGCATGCACAAACGTTTTTCTTTAGTGACGTCCTGTGTTGTATTATGTTCTTCAGATAGTCCTTTCCTAGAATACCCATAACCTCCATTTTTATTTTAATAATTTCTTAAATCAAGTAACCCACCTTGAGCATGTATTCAGCTGTGTCATCTTTAGTATTATTGTTGATGTGTTGTTTCATTACACCTGTCCAACTAAACCTCCTCACTAGTGTTGTCATTCCTGAAATCATTTTAATTTATTATAAATTGTGATGAATGTGATCTCCCTTGGTGAGCTATAATAATAATTATTACTAGTTCTTGGAGTGAACGATAAGAAAAAATATAGTTAAAAAAGATTATAAATTACCGGCGTTTGCATTGCTATGCAGCCACCCCAGACAAAAATCGGGACGTGCACTTTGCAATAGACTGCCGTCAATCAAACATGTTAATGCCATTTACACGCGTGTGTGATTCAAAAGGCCGGGCCGATCCACGCGTTTAAATGACGTCAACTTGTTTGATTGACGGCAGTCTATTGCAAAGCGCATGTCGCGATTTTGGTGGCCGCGTAGCAATGCAAATGCCAGTAAAGATAATCCAATTTCAAGTTTTGAGGTTTTTAAATTTTTGCCTTCAATGCTCGCCACTAAGCCTAGTCTACTTGTCTGGGACTAGTATATCTTTGCTATGGGCTAGTGAAAATTAGGACTCACTGGTCCATACTTTAGATAATTATGTTAAAGGCATATATACACTGTAAGTGGATCAAAACAACCTGGATCAAAAAGACCATTTGCCTGTCTAAAAGCAGCAACTTAAATCTATCTACATGCATCTATCTTACCCATGACTGCTCCTTCTACAGCCTGCCATGAACTCTCCTTGGAGTGACAAATCTAAAAGGCAATGAAAAAAAATGGAAGGAAGAAAATGATTAAATGACTGATGGTATCACACCATGACTAAAATGTTTTGCAAGAGATGTTGTCATTACCTTGATTAATTCACTGTAAAAAATATGGGCTTGATGAAGAGTAAAGTGTTCCAAAATTTGAGCTAATCTTGCTACACAAGTGTTTCTTATAGCAGACCAGACATCTGTGATGCCAGACACTATCAAAGCCTTCAAATAAAAATATAATAAGCATAACTACCTGTTTAACATGTGAACTTGGTAGTTGCAAGTCATCTGTTGAAATTTCTTTTTTTCATTGCCACCAGTCAAAAACATTTAAAAGGTACCAAATCATTACTTTTGATTAATGGAAGTAAGGAAAAAAGATGCTGTTGATGACCATCTTCAGTGCCTGTGCTTATAAATAGTCAGGTAATTACTTTAAAAAAAGCCTTAAAAATGGTCTGTTTACCTTCACCAATGGAAATACTTGATCACTGAAGCCTTGGTCTGAGAACAGTTTCAGCCATTCCATTATATGCACACATGTATGGTTCCTGACAACTGGCATGTTATGAGCTAAATGAAAATAACTCTGTTAACAATAATAATATTATGATAACAACACAATAAAGTACACATTTTGTAAGACATTTCTTATCTAATCTTTATGTCAGTACAGGGGCAGATCCAGGGTTTTTTCTAGGGGGAGGGGTGGACACCATAGAGGTTTTTCATTTTATGAGGGGGTGCACCCTTTGCTCACAAACTAAAAATGAAAAAATTAATAATAAAAATAAAAAAAATTTTAAAAAAATGAGTGGGGGGGGGGGGGGCGTGCACTCCCCCTGCATCCCTCCCCTAGATCTGACACCCCTGCAGTAGGAAGATTCCTTTTCATTGCTCATTAATATGTCCCCACCCATCCCTCCCCCTAAAGAAATTAAAGTACGACGTATAGTTATTAAAAAATATACATACAATAAATTAACCAAATTATCTAGTTTTCCATATTTTTAAATCATTTCTTGAAGGAAACCTATTTTCACCAGAATCCTACCTTGTAGCACAGCATATTTATGACTCTCTAACAGCTGTCTGCTAAGTGGTTGGGCTACAAACCTGCATTTTTAAATAATAGAGACAAGTTTATTACATGAAGGAAATCAATAGATATTAAAATAATGGTAAATTAGCTATTGACAGAATGGGTGGAAAATAACTAGAAGTCATCATTTAATATATGGAATTTATCACATTCTATCAGGAAATTTTATCTTTATTGTAGATTACAATCAACAATAGATGTGTAAACAGTGGATTGGTAAGATCAAATAGTGGCTTACTCTCAATCCTGATTATACCATGGAATGACAAAAGATTCATATAAGTCATCCCATTTACAGCAGTATCAGGGCACATTTGTTTCTCCTTTAAAAGGTGGTTTATACGTAATGATGTCATGTGTTGCAGCATTATAATAATTATTGTCAGCATCCACTTTTTTAAGAGAAAATACAGGGCTTTCTGGGTGTTTAACTATGGCAGTATATAATATATGGGTATATATAATACAAGTGCATCCTGTTTGAATTTAATTGCTGATAAAATATGTCCTTCTGTATATTGAACCTGCATACCACCCAAGATAATCATGTGAAGATACTGCATGATATCTAACATGTGAAGATAACACCATTGATAGAAATTCTTAGGTACATGGCCACTTGAAAATACAGATTTTCTCCTTAAGTATTGAGAATATTGTACTTGTTCACTGTGCTCACTTGTGAGATCTCCAAGCAGCTATGCAATATTCCCTCTTTCTCTTATACTCAAATAGAAATTTGATTTTTTTATTTCAATGATATTCCTCTGTAGGTAGTAAAGGCAATCCAGGAACAATGACCATCAGAGGTAAGAGACAATTAGTGAATATCTATAAGCTTTAGGTAATCTATGTTGTTAATTATTTGATAATATTGTGGGGGTTCACAGTTATTAAGTCAGGACAGAGCCATGGTTCAATTAAATCTGCACTCTTTGATCTGATAAATCCACTGTTTACACATGTATTGTTGACTGTAATCTATCATTTATAATACTAATCCTTGGGCTGACAACTTTCATATCACTTTGTCAAACAACCTCTTTTTTTCAATATTAAGAACAACAATAGCTTGAGAAATTACCGGTTTATCTACAATGGCTGCGATAAAAAAACTTAATTATTTGAGTTTTTGAGACAGCAGACAAAGTGCCCTTTCATAAGATGACTCTATTTAGCAATAAGCTCTCAAGCCTGAATGGGCTATCGACTCATTAATAGGCCATGATGGCGAGAGAACTTATTGTGTCAGTCAAATCCAACTATTCGATCAAATGTATAGATGCAAACAATTGAATTAACGTTAAGTTCAATTTGTTAGCTTTTTAGATTTTAAAGCCGCCACTTTTCACTACTAGTATGCTATAACTTATAGCCAACTATTAGCTCCTCCAATCAGAATGCAGCATTGATGATAGACTGCTAGTTGGGTTTTACTAAATACTTATTAGTATAAACTTATTAATGGTCTATCACAAATCCTACGCTCTGATTGCCTGAGCTACAGACTAGTAGTCCATAAGTGATAGACCTCTTGCCTTGATAGTCAAGTCAATAGTCCAATTTGGCCTTAGGCCAGCATGCTGGCCAGGATGCCATTGTTATTAATGCCTGATGTTCAAAAAAGTGCAAGAAAACAGCATTGAAAATTACAACCCAATTTTTCTTGGTATAAAATAAAACAAATATAAAAGCCTTTTTTCCATGCTTCAATCAACAGTGAGAAGACTCTTAGAAAATGCTCTAAACACTCAAGACACATGAGAATCCTGGGGCAGATCCAGGAATTTGCTTGGGGGTGTATATAGAGATATTATGCATAGTAAATGTTTCTTTTGCTTCAATAATAATAATAATAGTATTTATTAACTTGTAAAGCTCCAATATCAATTTACATTTTCATTGGCGCATTCAAAAAAGCTAAAAGTAATTATGACATTAGGGGGGTGTCCAGTGCACCACAGGACACCCTCTTTATCCGCCCCTTGGAATCACTTGGTTTCATGCCTGTAAATTTGTCACTTGTGTGATAYATTCCCGAAATAAAGACTGGAAAAGCTGCTTAATTTCTCAAATGATGAGCAAATGTTGACAGTTTTTTAGACATAAATTTATAAGAATAAATAATACCAATTCTTGGATAGTATTTTGGTTTTTGTTAGGACATCTCAAATATCTTAAAATCTTTAGGAATATCATATAAAAAATTGATTTGCAAAAGATCAGTCATTTCCTTTTGATAATTTTTCCAATTTCAATTTGTTCAATGACTGAAACCACAATAGTTAAGTTATAAACCATTTCCTTTCTCTTTTTTGTTGTCAATTTTCATTTTTAATTAAACACATTTTGCGTCTATTTATGAGCTGTTGTAGACATAATGACGTCTGTGAAACTAATAAATAACGGGTACATAACACTTCTCCAGTCTGGAGAAAAATATCTAACTTGGATAAGCATTTATAAGATATATAATATAGACTATATCTTTTTAAAATCTTTTAAAAAATTTGTGAACACATTAAAACCCACTTCAAAAAAAGGATATTATGATTCTAGACGATAGGAAATACGGAAGAAAAATAATTGATGGACGAAGATTTGATCGACTGGAAAATAAATGCACAATATTGATTTAATTTTTATAGCTCGATGGAGGACAATTGAAATCCTAATGTGTCACCATGGGGAATAAAAATCGATTAGGATTTTTGAAACACCTGTTTTCTCTAAGGACTGATATTTAAAGAAGACTGTGTTTCTTCGCAGAATTTAGGATTTTTTTCGCTGGAGTGTAAGATTATTCAGTTTGGAAGTGATATCTCAGATCATGTGCAGATTTAGCCTCAACACTACTGCAGTTTTTCATCTAATCATTTGTTTTTTTGTTTTAACGGAAAATATCGAATAAATAAAAATAAATATTGTTTGAAATAATGGTATCGTAGGGGAAAAAAGAAATTCTAGGAATTAAACTTTATGCTTTTTCATATGGTGATAAAATAGGTTTTCTTACCATTTCAAATGCTCGTCAAGGAGTTCATTCAATCTCGTCAGAAATCTAGTGTCTTCAGGCGCTCTTGGAGACGAAGGAGACCAGCTAATTCCATCTAAATCATCCGTGTTTTCGTTTGAATTGATAAGAAACTCAGTGCGTCCATATCTCCGTTCAAAAACATAAAACGTAAACTGGTCGAGTTGTCTTTGCTCTTCAAACAATGCTGAAGGATCCCAACTTGGAAACGGGTTGTCATCTTCAATATTTTCTCCTCGAAGCCATTCTCTTTCGCATTCATCCTCACTTACCGTCGCAACAGAGCAAATAGGCTTTAAGAATTCCCTAAGCTTTTCAAGTAAAAGGACCTCTTGTTCAGTAGTCGTTGAAACGAGAAGAGCTCGCAGGACAGCAGCGCACTCGGTTGCCTCTGTCAACCGGTTGGACGCGCTCATCACCCCAGACATATTTAAATGAGAAAACCCATCTTGCCTGGCTTAGATTAACGCCAGCGACATTTTAAATACTGTATAGGATTTATCTGTAAATCTTTCTAGATCTTTAAATCCTTTCTTTACCTATTAATTTGAAGTAGAAAATCATATGCATATTTGTTGATTGTGGCCGCCATTTGAACTGCGAACCCCGGGCTTTTTATTTTGCCACGTGATTTGCACGAAACATTATCGACTGTTTATCGATCATTATTATTTTATTTTTTTTAAATATGCCTTTGAAAAAACCAAAAAGACCAAAATGATCAAGGCATTTACAGTAAAGAATCATTGCACAAGATATTGTAATTTTTGAAATAAACTTATGATAAGGAATGGCTAATTTAAGATAATTCTGTTTATTCAACTTGCATCTCGATGTCTGCACGAGCTCCTTACGAGAACGCTACGAATGATAGGCTTCTTATTCGGAGAACATTGAATATGTTAGTATTTGCTTGTCCTTATCAATCTCGTTTAAGTGTAAAATAGTCTTTCAAAAGAAAGGCGCCTGCTAGCGGTAAGTAGTGTTTGTGGCTTTTCGTCGCAGTGTTTTTTTATTTTGCTTTTTTATTGTTTATTTTTGCAGGTAGTTTGATCCCTGATCTGATCACTATCGCGCGTGCCAACCGTTACAGTAGCTAAGCTTGTACTACATTATTTCTAACATCAAATATACTAAAACAGATCGGCTTTGAAAAGACGACAACAATTACGGTCTCTGTGATCTCGCTTCTTTCCACTTCAACTGCCATTTACTATTAGCTTCCTGACTCTGGGTTGTTATAATGAATGTGTTTGATGTAACTTATATATGTAACCTGTACAGAGAATGAAATGCCCCCTAAACACATTTATCTCTTTCTTTTACAATACAAGGACATAGTACGTATATAGTACGTATAATAAAGGCGATTTTAACTAGTATTCAATAACGAAAAGCGTATTATCCAAAGACACCTATTAGATCTTCAATAAGTTATTCCGAAGACGCTCTAACTTTGTAATGAGCCCACCCGCCCCCTCCTTAATTTTACCTGCAGCCTACCCCCCACCCCTTACCACAACTGATCAAATTGTTGCATATCCTATGATTTTCTGTTCTTTTTCAAATAGGTGATGTTGAGAACAGTGTTCCAGTTGTCATTAGTCTCCAGACCGGTATCCAGGCTGATCAAGTCTCAGATCCGTTCCACAGCTAAGTATTCATCTGTACACGACTTTACGGTCCAGAACCTACAGGGGGAACCTGTTTCTTTGTCAAAATACAAAGGAAAGGTTATCCTGATTGAGAATGTTGCATCTCTATGAGGCACAACTGTCAGGGATTACACCCAGGTATGTGATCTATCAAAAATAAATGTAAGTGTGAACACCTAGAAACAGATGAAAGCATACAAGGCCATGTTTTTACAGCCAGAGTGCTTTTATTGTTTCGAGGTGTTTGAAAATAGCCACTTTATAATCAGGCGGAGGACTGGAAATGAGTGTTTAAAAGGTTTAAGAATTGAATTAATCTCAGAGATGAAAAAAATTTTTCCAATGATGAGAAAGAGCACATCACAGTTACCAGGTTTCTGCAGTTTGGCTTTGATTGGCTAAGCAACAGCTAAACTATAAGCAATCTAAAACATCAAAAATTACAAAGAAATGTATGTTTAGTAGGGACAAGCGTCCCCAGTAACCTTTTTTTTTTGTAATTTCAGAGATGTTTGGGAGGTTGCTACACAAGGGACCACAAAGCGTAATTTTGATTGAGGGGGGGGGGGGGGGGGGACTAAAGACTGCCTAAGGTAGGAGCACCTAGGGGGCTCAGGGGAAAGGCCAAACCAAAACAATTTAAAAAGTGAGACCCTTAGAAGTGCAATTTCTAGTGTTTTGAGGGGCATTTACAATATATTTTATGCATTGGCTATTGATATTTTAAATGGCAAAAAAGTAATTCAAAATATGGTGGCAAAATTATTGTACATGAAAAGTATCAAATCCAAAATCTTGAAACTTGAAATTTACTAATTTCGATACACTCTTCCTTGTTATAGTGTATGTGAACCCCAAAATGACATGCTATTCTTTTCTTCACAGATGAATGAGCTCATGGACAAGTACAGTCAAAAAGGGCTCGTAATTTTGGGTTTTCCCTGCAATCAGTTTGGCCATCAAGAGAACTGCAAAAATGATGAGATTCTCAACTCACTAAAGTATGTTCGTCCAGGAAATGGCTTTGTTCCCAAAATAGACATCTTTAGTAAAATGGATGTCAATGGTTCAACAGCAGACCCATTGTTTGCCTATCTGAAGACGGAACTGTCTCTACCACACCCAGATGGTGCTGTAGGTACATTAATGGCCGACCAGAGATATGTGATTTGGAACCCAGTTTGCCGCAATGACATCTCTTGGAATTTTGAGAAGTTTTTGGTAGATCGCAATGGAAAGCCATTTAAACGTTATGCTCGTTCATTTGAAACTAAGGATATATCTCCTGACATAGAGAAACTCCTAAACAATTAGGCTATTCTTTCTTTTTATACTTTTTTCAATTATCTCAATGTTTACCAATTACTTTTTTACACAGTTTGAATAAGTGATATCACCACTTACAGAGACAGCATGATAGCATTTACTGAAATTTTTAAAAGTACATGCTTGATGAACGTTTCTCTTGTAATATTTTCAAAAACTGGTTGTAAATAGTTTTCAGTTTGGGAGACCTCTGGGTAAAGAGCTTGATAACATAGTAGTGGTTTGTGTTTATGACAGCAATCACAGAAAGCTTTTGGCATTGTGATTGCTTGATGCTACAGCAACAACCATTGCTGGTGCGACAACAAAATTAGCTGCCAAACTGCAACTAGACTGATGCTCAAGGTTGTGTTGAACAAATAAATTGCTCTTAAAGTAATGTCTTCAATTTCATTGTTGTTTGAATTGTCATTCACAGGGAGTTTGCAACACATGTAGAATGATAGAAATATGCACGATTGTGCTTCACAACTGAATGTAGTGTCAATGCAGATGTAGTGCCATGAAAAGGACACTGATGTTCATGGAAAATTTCTTTGCTTACTCATTGTACATCCCATATAGCACACTTTAGACGTGTGTCCACCTCTGCAAAGTCTCAACCATGAGGTTTTCCCACTAGTAATGAATTTCTGTAGCACTGCAAATTCATAGTTTACTACAGCTGAAATCAGCTTTATTAGAAACCAAAAAAAAACAAACAAACAAACTTCAAGCCATCATCTTTATTATTTTAGGCAAATGATACAAAATTCTTATAAAATAACAAGTATATATCAACAGTTATTGTCCTTGGCTAATCCTCCATCCTTGGTGCTTGTAATACCTCATTAGACGTCTCTCAGTAGGTCTTGAATATCATACAATCATTTATCTACAGGTCATGAAATGCAGTGCACGGAGGAGCACGTATTCCATTAACAATAAGCTGCAATAGATCTTTTCCGAGATGTGCAAGTGCTGTGAACATTATTGAATGCTGAGACTCAAAAACTGGGCAGACAAAATCTTTACTTCAAGTGTTTTAGAAATTGCCTATGACTCTTTGGTTTCCAGCGCTTTCTTATGGACTTAGCCTGTTTCCTATTAATACGCTTGCGCATCTTGAAAATCGTCTATTTGCATTCTTGTTCAGTGTATCTATGGTCGTGAGGTATCATGGAGGAGAAGACTGACGATTTTGTACATGAATTTACTCTTGTCCTTCACTGGTGCTTTCTCTTGTTACTTGCTTTTGTTGCATACAACTACGAGCCACTGACTCAAACAACCTGAAAAACGATTTGTCTAGAGTTAAAACTACTCAATTCAAATCTAAAGGTAAAGTAAATATAGAAGCTTTGCACCATCACGTGATGGCAGCCATGACAGGAGGCATAACAAATTTCTGGAAAACTCTATCTTTCTCCCTCTTTTTGGTTTTCCATTAGACGTGTGTACCATTTGTCAGAAGTCAAAGTTTCTCACTCTTTTCTTATCATAGAAAACGAATTTCCAAATGGATTGAGTTTTAACAAGTATCCTCAGCAATACTAGCTACTACTAAAGTGTACGAACATGATATTTCTCTGAGTAGTGGCAGCAGATACTTACTTTTCAATCTCAGGAGCACAGTGAACAAACTCATGGGTCCAGAACTTGTACTGGTGATTTTTAATCAATTCAATGAACGTGATGAGAAGCCCCCATGGATGAGGTCTGTTCACTATCAGACGCTCAAGTAAAACCCTGCAAGACAAGAAATGCAGTTATATCACAATATCTTCGTACGTCCGTTGGCACCGTTAACTTTTGCTGTGCTGAAACGTAAAACAACGGCCTACAGGTCTCTTTGCAGAAATCCAGCCTTTTTGGCAGGTCTCACAATGCAAACTTATTGGGATGATTTCAGTGAAGGTTTCAAAAGACTACCTTGTATAATAAATGAATACGGTGTATAACCTTTCCTTTGTAAGAATATAAACATCGCACGCGTGGTGCGCGAAAAACGTAAAGGTTATCAAATTGAACTACCTTACAGTAATCAAACAATACGGCGCAACTAAAATTTGCAGACTGCACAGCTGCAAAACGCACCCTGCGTTTTAAACGACAGCCGCACAAAAAAATGTTACGTTTGCCCACTCGGCATCCCATAATTCAAGATGGCCGCCGCATCAGTAAAAAGGTCCATTGCCCTGTGGAACGAACAGTCTCCTTCAAACGGGAGTTTATTTTCTGTAATTTTCTATTCTAGCAGGAGCATGCTTACCTTGTTATCTGTTCCTGGATCGCCTCTGTATTCGCCTCAGCGAACAGGTACAACAAGACACAGCTAAAGTAATGGGTGTGGCTGTTGGGGTAGCGTAGCTGGTTGGCTATGGCATTCAAGAATAAGTAGCGTCCTAAAACATGAAAGTAAAACATTTCATAAAAACATGATGTACGACGTATGATTTGTGTAGCGCGACACATGTAAATTATTACTCAAAAGCGCTTGCTATCATGAGAAGTAGTGACAATGAGTGTAGGCACTGAGGGTTGTCATTGCCAGGGTTTCTTTACGACCTCAGTGGTTCTTTTACGTTCATCCGATATTTTATGTTAGTAATGATGAAGTGTGGAGAGACGGGACCGCCATTTAAAATGGCCATCCGAGCCACTTGAAAGTCTAACCATTTGTAGATGTCGTTACAAAGGCAGCACTTTATCCTCAGTCATTTCAAAATCCCGAGCGTTGGTCTGGTTGGGGAATTGTATCCGCGACCTCCCGCACAACCGTCCGAAGTTCAACCAAGCCAACCGAATTTTGGCAAAAACATTAATGGAAATAGAAAACGCGCGCGTGCTTTGTGCAGTCATAAAGTGAGCGGGGATTGGCAGAACACGAGAGAAGTGTTTTGAAAAGCACGACGCGTTTTTTGTTTCTTTTATAAAATACAAATTTCAACATCCGTCATTTTGGATAGGAATGACGCAGCTGAAAGTGCGCGCGCGTGCTGTGTGCTCTAATAAAGCACGCGCTCCCAACCAATCAGAACGCGAGATTCATAATCTTTATTTTATAACAGTAGTTAAATGGTTGGTATATAGAAATATTGTCCATACCTTCAGTGTCTAGATCAACAGCAAGATTCTGGAAGATATCCATGTGGGATGAGTGAGTTATAGTAGACATAGAAGGCGTTCCACTTTTACTGTGTATGTAAGCTATAGCTTGAGTACCAACATACAGGACTAAAGCATTCATCAGGGGTACGTTGTATCTTGTACCTGGTTCTGTGGATACCTAAGAAAGTAATAAGAGATGGCATTGAAGTGGATTTGGAAGTGGATATTTAAAAGCGTCCTGACGCCTTTTACCAATGTGACCCAGGATAGATGCACCTCTCAACCTTGGGCGTAATGCTTTCCCGTTTCAGACCACGTGTCATTCCCTATAGTATCATTTCTTTGTTTAAAGGGTGTGCATCAGAAGACACATGAATATGGCTACAACTTAAACAAAGAATCTTATTCTCAAGAGAATGACACGTGGTCTGAAATGGGAAAACATTATGTCCAAGAAAAGAGGTCTATTCCCAGATCCGTGGCGGAGTTTTTTGTTGCTCAGTCTTTCCTATCCTTAAGGATTTTCCTTGGATTTTCCGGTTATCGGCATTCCCAAATTACTGTTGAATATATTATTGGATTCTTCGTTTTCCATTTACATAGATCCACAGTAAAGGAATGTATATATATCATACATTAATTTCTAGATTACTAATAGATATTACTTGAGGGAAAGAAACACTTGGTGGAATTTGTAAACGAACCGGCTAAACTAATACCATTCGATGCTCCTGAAACACCGAGCGATACTGGAAACATACAGAAATTTCAGTGCGAAGTCCTACAGAGAATTTAAAATGTTGAATTGTTCAAATGCGTTACCTGTAAGTGACTTCTTAGCTCTGTCAGGAACGTTACCGGCGTACGAGTCTTCAGATACGAATCCAAATCCTGTAACAGAACATACAAGTAAGATTTTTTTTTTCTTTCCGAGACAAAAATGTAACCCTTATCTAAAAGAAAGCAATACAGTGCGAGATTGATCTCTCACCTTCTTGAAGGTAGCTGGTTGTATCGCTGCTCCAAAGTTGGTTAAAATTCGAGGAGAATGAGCGATGTCAGTCAGTAAATCAACCTGTAGATTTGAATCATGCAGATTTGTTAGGAAGCACTCAAGGTGACTATGTGAAAATGTGGGAGATTTAGTACTAAGGGGAGCGAGTGTAGATAATAAAAATAGGGTCTAGGGTTGGCTTTAAGGGTAAGTTCAATCGCCTACAAGTGTGACCAAAATATATTTTCAGTAACACATGGAAGTGAATTCTTTAGATATTGACACGTCCCTTTTCTCGGCGCTGAGCCGCATTCTAATATTGCAACCTCTAGAACTGCATTGACAAGCTTTCTTCGCCGGTTCAAAAAGCAAATCTCACTAAAATTCACTCCACAGCTACCTGTGGTTAAGAAAGAGCTCAACACACCTTAAGGTTTGGCGTGAATGGGTCAGGCAGCCTCATGTTTCTTGGGAACGCACTTAGAATCAAGTTACGCATCTGAATACAGTTGGGTGGAATGACGTCACAGAAGCTGAAGTGATAGTCACAAAGGAATTCTGGGAAATCGTGTAGAAGTACCAGTAACACTCTTAATGTACCCTGGAAATGAAACGATTTACATGGGTGTTAGTTTGGGGAAACAAAAACGGTAATCGGAAGTCAATTTACCACTTTTTTCATCACGACTGTCCTCTAGTTATCGGGAAGTCAATGCTTCCTGCTCTTTTCGGTTGGAAGACGCGCACGTACTGTAGCCAGAATTCCACTTTTCCCGCTCTTTTCTTTTGGAAAATGCGCGTCACGGAGCTCCCGGATGTTAGTTCCGCTATTCCGCTATAATGACACTCGATCGTGAGACAAATGAATAAGTATCATTTATTACGATCTCTACGATGAAAAATATTTTTCATTCTAATTATTCACCTTATAAAGCAAGTGTGTCTGCTTGGCCAGCTCAGCGTTCCTCAGGAAAGGAGCCAAAAACTTGAACAAGTCAATCAACAGCTGCTGAAACAACGACCATCCCTTCTGCTGTGGTGTATTGAGAAGAAGCTTAGACATGAACAGTCTGTGGGAGATGAGTTCAAGCCACGCGTACGCGAACCCTGGCGCACGTGACGGCTTCAAAGCGTGGAACACCGTGCTGAACGTCTGGAGGACTTGGAAGTTAATGGCTTCAAGGACAGGCTCTGGCTGGTTGAGTTCGAGCAGTAGCATGATGAAGATCCTTTGGTAGGGTAGCTGTTGGAAATCTGTGTGACGCAGCTCGTGGTCTTGGAACAAGACTGTTGCTACGGTGCTTAGAACCTAGAAATATGATAAACAGTCAGAATACTTATAGTAGTTGTTTGAGAGTAAGTTTGAATTAAGAGCAGATTTCGCAGATTTCACGTATGAAAGTGCTGTGCTGTGATGATAACTAAGCCGTGTTGGAGCATTTACATAGGATATAAAAGAGAGCGGATATCGGTCCGTGAAAGACTTACTTACCCTGTTCAACAGGTTGATCTTGGTAACGTTGTTAGACGCATCACCGGAATGTCTGACCAACAGAGCTATGAGTCTACAGTAAGCATCTAAAGTATTGAAGCATTTACTGCGGGCCAGGGTTGGGTTGTTGGGCTGTAGATTAAAAACATTTGACCGGTATTAGACTGGTATTAGACTGGTATTAGACTGGTATTAGACTGGTATTAGACTGGTATTAGACTGGTATTAGACTGGTATTAGACTGGTATTAGACCGTATTGGACCGGTATTAGACTGTTATTAGACCATATTGGACCGGTATTAGACTGGTATTTGACCGTATTGGACCGGTATTGGACCGGTATTGGACCTGTATTGGACCAGTATTAGATCGGTATTAGATAGGGTGCAAAACGGGTTTCAACATGTCAGATAAAAACCAGGATCTCGTCATTTACCCGTCAGTGGCACCAGAGTACATGATCTTACGGCAAAAAAAAAAGGCAAAAGCTCAGTTGAAGTAGTGCCCCTGACTAGGGCGTTAAGTTCACTGGTATTCTAATGGTACTTACATGATCAGCGATAGCACGGTACGTGACGTCAACACACAGCTCAGTACAGATCCTGAAGAATCTTGTGATCAAATCATCTGACCTTAAAATACCCTGTTGGTGCATCTACAACACAAAATCAACAATATTTATGAGCCATTTTTCTTCCTTGCCCTGAAATTTTTAACATTTAATGGAGCTGCGAGAATTGAAAATGATGTTTCTTCTTAGCCTTCTACAAAAATGTCCTGAGGTTGTCACGCAATGCTTCATCCTAACGCAATTGTGTAAGGAGTGAAGCGTCCCGTGACAAACCTAAGGCGTAGTTTTCCATTTGTAAATAAAATCGATTTTCCTTTAAAAAAAACATTGCATTATTCCTGCCCTCTTGAATACCCTACGGGACAAACAACAATTTACTAAGTGAACATCCTTGGGCAACACTGCCGGCAGTCGTGAGCCCTCGTCAACGAGCAACGCCGAGACCTGCATCTCGTTTTAAAAACTTCATAAGCCAAAAGTTCCTTATGAATCGATAAAGTGATTTTCTTACCATAGCAACAAAAGTAGAGAACGCCTTTTCGCTGTCTTTGCCTGCACCGGGTTGGTGACAAAGACGAACCCATTCTCGTAACAGATATTCAACCTGCAATATCACAAATGGAACATATTGTCAGGTAAAGCTATATCTCCAGCACAGTAAAAACTCGACTTCTTAATTTCAAATTTGTTCTATCAGCTGCGAAATTAAGTGGGTATGTTTAACGTGTTAGCCTTTCTGCCGTCCAACTTTATTAATGATGGTAATGATGATTGGTGTTCAGTTGATGATGGTGACAATTGATGGTTATGATAGTTGAGAAAAGCTAAAAATCTAAAGCATCTACAGTTGACTTGGCCAACAATAACTTGGCCCTCCTCTTCTGTCGTTTCATACAAGGCTCGTAATTTACCTATTACGCATGTTCAACAATGACTGCTTAAGGTATGAAGAAAAAAGCTTTTGGTCTTGCTTTAAGGATTGCCAAGTTTCTATAATACAAATAAATCACGAGCCCTGAGAAAACATCTATTTTCTGGTACAAGCATTAACATTACCTTCTCATGGAGGCCTGGAGGATCCTCGAATCCAGAGAATGATGGCACGGCGTTAGTCGTGAGAGAGGTAGGTCCACCTGGTGCTTTGTTATCAGGAACATCATGATGACTTGGCATACTAGAAGGACCATTATGAACACTCTCAAGTACAGATGACAGCCTGAAGCAAACAATCAATACATGGTTTAGGCCAAACAAAAATAAGTGTGTTTCCTGTTGCGCAACCGACCCTAATTTTCTTGCCGATTTTTGCCGACCCTAATATTTTTTCATTCCCAAATGCACCATAGGGTTCCCAGTAAGCTCATTTCCACTGTTGTATCAGTAAAAATAAATAAATGAAAAATCCGACCTACCGACCCCAATTATTTTTCTCATGCAACAGGAAACACACTTATTTTTTTGTTTGGCCTTACCCAATATCAAAATGGCCCCTTCTCACACGGCAGCCATGACTGAAACAATAGATTTTCCCCGCATAGCCTCGCATTCAAGCGTTTCAGGGCGCGGTTATGCGGATTGAAACAAAAATTTTAACATATCGCCGTGTGATCAACGTCCACTTCTTTAACCTCAGAAAAGTCATCTTTGCTTTAAGCTGAAGCAATTTCCAATTCTTTGTTGTAGACCCTAAGGCTCAGGTCAAACGTCCAACTTCACATGAGCCATCAAAGACCGCCTCGTTATCCATTGTTTCGATTAGGTTCGGCTCATGTGGAGTTCGATGTTTCACTTGAGCCTAAAGGCGCGATTACATGGAGCTATTTTCTCTGCAGCTTGTCTCGCAACATCGTTGCGACACATTTGCATGGAGCATAGCAGCGTTAAAAAATGTTGCGAGACAAGTTGCAGCAAATGTTTGCGTCTCCGTTGAAGCGTGTAAACACTCTTGCAATTTGTGTCGCAACGCTATTTCAAGACAAGTTGTAGAGAAAATTGCTCCGTGTAATCGCGCCTTAAGGGTCGTAGTCGGCCAAAATCTGAGTCCGTTCCGTTTCGCCAAAGATGATGTATTTTCATATCAAATCTAAGAATCTTTCTCTAGTAATTCTTAGATTTTAAAAAACCTACCCTTCAGGGTTCTGTCTGCTGTGAGCCATTCTAGTCAAAGATTCAATGGTGTGCGACAAGTCACCCTATAAAACAAAAGAAAAAAGTTTAGAGTACATTCCATAAGGCATTCTTAGGCTCCTCAGCAGCTTCTCCGCTCCTCTTTCGTCTTTTTCTGTGTGCGGGATCCCTGTGGCAAAGTTCACCAGGCTCAGCACAGGTAGCCCGACATAGGAATAATCAAAGATAGGAAGAGATTACAATCCTACCTCTGATACGTGAGGAGCGTGCTTATCATCCGACACGTACTTGACCAACTGTATGGCAAAATGTACGGCATTAACGTTGAGTCCATTGTCCATGCACTAAAGTAACAAGAAAGGACGTAAAAACAGTTAGAACACAGACATCACAAATTAACTCGAATCACTATAGACTGCGAGCAGTCGCACTTTTCCCTCCAGACTCAGTAAAGACGATTTTTTTGGTAACTGGAATTCTTTTATCTTGCGCGCCACATATTATGAAGTCATTTTAGAAATTCCAAAGGGGTCTTTAGGCAATAAAGAAGTTTATCTTTGGAAAATTTCGGGCCAGATTCTTGGGGTCAAGATGGCCCCTTTGTTCGCCTGGGTGGAGTCATATCAATAATTTTGGAATAACATTTTTTGATATCTGTAGAATAAGCTCAGATTTCCAGCCGTCGGGGCTATAAGATAATTTAAAGATCGTAAAATAAGCATTTCAGAATCCGGTCGGGCCTCTCCAAAGTAATAAACAACCATTTTTAACGTTGTTTTAGCCAGACAATCCAAAACCGCAAATGTCAAAGACAACTGTCATATATACCTGTACAATGTGTTGGTCAAACTCTCTCATGTTAATAAGATGACCTCGGATCAAAAGATCGATGGCTTCCACGTTGAACTTTAGCTCTGGGACACAATCGCAAACGAACCTGGAAAACACAAAAAAAAGATAATGAAACGAGAACAAAAACGTGTTTGAACAGATTCGTGGCCGCTTTTGGTAGCTTGGATTAATTCAAAAAACGAGGTATGGTTGTCCCAGTTCCAAGATAGTTTGCTTGTAAAACAAGGGAGAGGTCTAAGATATTGACAGGAGACACCCATGAGCATTCTTGCGTTACTTACTTGGTAACGTGTCTTGACGTCCAATTGATTCCATACCCACGTGGATCCTGCAACCCACGTAACACAATAAGGTGACAGTCACGGAACCGTAATGCAAGTTCTTGATCACTTGGTAACGGAGTGACCTCATCCAAAAGACCTTCAACAGCCTTGTGAAGAAGCCGGACTGCAGCATTATTATCCCTGGAGTTACGTGTCTGTACCACAGCGTCTAGCAGGCTGTGGATGGTCATGACGGGAGGGCTTGATGGAGGAGCCATGATTGCATGTAAGTGTTGCTCAATCTCTGCTGCACACTTGTTCAATATCTGGACTACTTCCTCTGGCATCATTGCTTGTGGGAACGGGCCTTGGAAGGCACCGCTGTCCAGAGAGAATTTATCTACTGAGCGGAAATCCTCGTGTATCGGAGGAGGAATAGATGCCTGGAAAACGAACATTATAGAATGAACCGACCGACTACGATAAACCCTCCTTAACCAGGCAAGCTTTATAGAATATTCCTGCGCCTTGTGAATATGATTATGAGTTCTGAATACTTTACGATTATAATTTAAACAATTATAATGAAAGCATTTGATTCTGGACAGACCATTATATAATTGAGGGAGGGAATGCATTAATCCTAAAAAAATATTGAGCAAGAACTTCACCAACGAAAAAAAATTTCTCGCAAGCTCTTCTTTCAAAAAAGAAATATCGAGCAAACACAATGAAAAATTGCGTACAGGGGTCGCTACGAAAAATAAATATCGTGCAACAAAAATTCCTGCAATCCCCTACCCCCTCAATTATTTAATGGTCAATCCCTTAGAGCAGATTTATCGTGACTATAGAAACAGTCACGTCATGTAAAAGCGTGACATGCATTACACCAATCACAGTCCACGCGTCTACTATTCATAATAATAGGCCTTCGCCGTCAGGATTACGTCACAACACATCTGTGCCGCACAATTCTATAGTCAAGTAAAATCTACTCGACGCACCACTATTCAGAGATTTGAGGATGAACAGTGGGACAGTGGGAAGGAAGGGGTGTACGGAGATTTCACACGGTCACGTGATGGCGGCCATGTTGGATGACAACGACAATTACATAGAGTGATAGGGGGAAACACATTCCAGTTGGTTGGTGAAAAAGGATTCTATGTACTGTCATCCAAAATGGATGCCAGAATGTATCTTGCAACACCTCCTCGATATAGGATCCTTACATTTACTCCCATTGCAGACCATTTTGTAAGACAAAAAGATAAAGTTTTAATCTTTCGCAAATTAATGTTTTACCCTACAAACTGAAACACAATGGAAATTCTTGCAAAGGGTCACTACTGAACGCAAGAAGCAAACAGATAATGCTTGAGTACGAAACGTAAGGTACAGCGGTGTACTGGCATATTAACAGACTGTCAGGTCGTACCTTACGTTTCCCATCCAAGCAAATCGTATTGTCGTACCACTTGACGTCAATTACTCGAAAATGGGATGTCATTCATAATTCTTTTTATGAGATGAATTCGTTTTTATATAATTAAGATCTGATACTGCGATAAATGTTCAGGGATTTGAAGCAGTTATGATCTGAAATCTAAGTAGCCAATTCCAGCAACAATAACAATTTCCCACATTTACATGAATCACAACATCGCTAGCAGTCATTCCTTGAACTTCGTTTTGCTACCACTAAGGAATTGACGTCATTTGGCGTGAAACTTAAAGGGTCTCCCCACTTAAAAAGAATCAGAAATAGCGATAAAAATAGAGTCATTGCCAGTGGAATACCGCAGCAAAAACCTCTCCAACCTGTACAAGAGCATTAATGTCTACCTTTTGTCTGCTGTGGATATTTCCTAAGGACTAAAAGGGAAGAAGGTGGGACATAGTTTAACGTGAGCACACACAACAACAGGAATGGTTAATGACAATGAACAATTATTCGCCAGGGTTAAGTGAATAATGATTATGACTCAAAAGTTTAAGGCCCGAAGTTCTGGATTTTCTGGGTCTACATCGACGTAAAAACAATATCTCTTAACAACTCTCTCCCTAAAATAGAGTAGAGTACTAAAGTGAGACGTCATCAAATTAAAGCATTTTACTTGAGTTTTGAAATGCTAATATTGTACGAGAACACAGTAATGCCTTCATTTGTGCACTCTTTAAGGTTGCTGCAAGCTTTAGAAGTAGAAATTAAGGGGACCAAAGGTCAAAACTTTCCCATACATTTTCCCTTATTTTGCACTGGTTCCAATCATGTTAGAAGCAGCACCAACTGAGAGAAGATGCATAGGGATATATCTTATTCTCGCCTCGCTAGCATATTTTAACATGCAGTTTCTTAGAATGTCACCAAAATTCTAAAAGTTCTAAAAAAAAATTTTTTTTGTCATCGCCATTGTACTCTATATATAGAACAGTTCGTGGCTCTTACACCGAAGTAAACCCAACTTTCCGAGAACTCCATCCTATGCTATTGGTTAAATAGCCACAGATATTCACTAAGAATAAGAGGGATAAATATTAATGTTCACTATAAAAGCACAGGTGAATATCAGAGAACTAAAGAAGAGTGATAAACTTCGTTTCAAAGTGACAAAATCTATAACATTTCTTGGCGTTATTAAAACTTTTTTTTCTATTAAAAATTCTCTTTTCGAAACAATTTTCTTTCTCCAACTTGAACATGCGCACTTGAATATTTATGTAGAAAATGCGCAATCTAAGTATTAAATATCATCATGAATGAAGTAATGGAAAAGAGTTGAGAATTTTTTCACTAGATAAAAAGTTAATGGAAAAGGCTTCATAATACGCATGTGAAGATTGTCAGTTAGATGCCACTTCAGATTGTGAGTGTGAGCATGCAAAGAGATGAAATGTTGCTGTACACTAGAATAGCCGTGCCGTGATGTGACATGCCATGCTCGATCTAGATACCTACGTGACAAGGAAAAAACTTCCTCTTTGATAGGAACGAGCGTAACAAGGCCTTAATCCGGTTTTCCAGGAATTTCCAAACTCATTCTTGAACTACATTTCAATGGTTTTATTCAATGAAAGGGGCTCACTTTTCTAAATTTCTCAATATCAACCTGTGCAATAATACCAGTAGTATATGTACCTCAGTTCTCATCTCACTGCTTAGTATTCCATGGTCGTACATAGGCTTGGATAAAGGTGGCATAGGTAGGGTCTCGCCTGATGGTGGCACCTTGAATCCTGGGATACTGCGAGCAAACTCTTCGTATACTGCTGTTTGGTTAGGGTTTACTCCACCAACCTAAACAAACAACAGACAAAATGAGTATAAAGTTTTAAAGATGACTGTGCCGGGTTGAAATGATTTCGTAGGCGTGTAAAAAACGGCATGCAGCACGGTAACGGCAACAACCCCTTGAGTGTATACTGCTCGTCCAATCAACTTCATGGCATGATATCACACATCCATGCCATTCCCTATCCGTGCCGTGCCGTGACCAAGACTTGTAGTGCCCTAACATCACGAACAGCAATGTCAATACCGCACCATGTTCCGTATTACTCAGTAGGAAATCTATACTATTTTATGTTAGAAAAGTTAAGTAGGGAATAAACAAAGCAACGCTTATTATTGTTAGGCTCAGGCCCAAATGAATTTCTCCTATTACAGTACAAAGTCCGTATCCTGGTTATGGACCGCAAATTGACCAATCACAGAGCGTGAAATTGCGTGTAGTATAGTAAGTATAGTACAGTACATGTCTTACCTTGAGCCTGATTTGCTCAGGCATTCTTTCTGCCTGATATGTTAAGATCATTGGATCACAATAACGTCTTCCCTCACTACGAGCATGTCTACGAACATCAAACTCCTACAATACAACAAAATATGGACTTTAAATTACAAAAAAAGAACCTCTCTTAACTGGGTTGTCTGCGAACATGCGTAATAGGTCAATTACGAGCCTTATATGAAACAACTGAAGATGAGTGCCAATGGGTTGTCTGCGTAGAACATTTAACCAATTGGAGAATGATCGCAGCACGTGCTCAACACATCAAGCCAAGAGTTTTATGTGGTTAAATTGAATACACAGGCAATTTTTGAAAGAAAGAAGAGTGTGATGTTTACTTACTGTAGCCAAGCGTTTGTCCATCTCTGGAAGGACCTTTTCGACAGCCGTCTTTTGGATGAACGAACAGGCCAGTTCAGTGTTCTCTTCGCTCACTACGGTTGCTGCATGCTCAATCATCTCCTTCTGCTGCTGATTAGCACTCTACGTAATGATGACAGATTAATGATGATCCTTTGGTAGTGGTGATGCCGTATTGATGATTGCCATGTATAATGATGAAGATGATAATAGTGGTGGTGATGATACTGTGTGGTGGTGATGTTGGATGATGATGATGATGATGATGTTGGTGGTGAAATGATGATAATAGTGGTGGTGATGGTTGATGATAGTTGTGATGATGATAGTGATGATGATACTGTGATGTTGATGTTGAATGATGATGATGAAGGTTGTGAGAATATAATAGTAGTGGTTATGTATTGATGATAAAGATTATGATACTGTGATGGTGATGTTGCATGATGACAGTGTATAACGTATAATGATGATAACAGCACTTAGTCATGGTAATGCATGATAATAGTGATGGTAATGATGCATGATGAAGATGATGATGATATGTATGATAATGATGACGATGCATGATGATGATGCTTGATGATGATGATGATGTTGATAGTGGTGGTGATTACGATATACTGATAATACGCAGAAGAACTTAGTACCCTATATTGCGTTTTGCATTACTCACCCTGAATGCTGTCTGTAGGCTGGACCTGAGCGTGTTAGTGATACTGACTAGTAATGGGTCTCTACAGGTAATTAATGCCATCCCTGCTGTCATGAAACGAACCATGTGATGTGCTGCAGCACGCATACGGGATTCCTCAGGATCTAACGCAAAGTCCTGGAAGTACATAAATACACAGATTAACTGATTGCAACAAATCTGGAATGTACACCCCAGAACAAATGAATATGGGGAAGGAAGTGGGGTTCACAGTAGTGAGTACCCAACAAATCTCCTATAGGTACAGATACTTCTCCCACAGATACTTCCACAGCATTTGCTATCTATAACAATATGTTTTTCTCGCTCCTATCCTTAATGATGGGCCCAATTACCTTCTTGACAATCATCTCGGCAGTTGTCAGGCAGATCTTAATGGACCTTTCCACCACAGGGTGGACCAGTTCTTGTACTGCTCGTTCAATAGACGGACGGACAAACTGCTTGAGGTGAGGGTTTTGCTGGAACAACGGAATCTGGAAAAAACATGTTTACTGTAAGTTGAAAGAAGAAAATGCAAAGCTGCAGTTTTAATTTGAGGAAGATGCAACAGCGTACAGCAGCTGAGTGGCAAGAAAATTGTGTCAATAATATAGCTTTCATAGGGCTAATAAGACCAAACAAAAATTAAGTGTGTTTCCTGTTGCGTGACCGACCCTAATTTTCTTCCTGATTTTTGCCGACCCTAATATTTTTTCACTCCCAAATGCACCACAGGGTTCCCACTAAGCTCATTTCCACTGTTGTATCAGTAAAAATAAAAAAATAAAAACCGACCTACCGACCCCAATTATTTTTCTCTTGCAACAGGAAAAACACACTTATTTTTTTGTTTGGCCTAATGACTAGCGGCTACTAGTTACAACAACGAGGGAATAAGAAGGAAACACTGTGTGTAAAAAAGTTTTTAACTTTACTGCTGTATAGGAGCAGGAATAATCGGTTAGTGCAAGGCTCTCTCTGTTCCGTGTAGCTTTAATACCCCTAATAAGGAGCACTGGTGGTCTGAGGGGGTAAAGGGCACTCTTTCGAGCACTTTATACATGAGTCCCTAACTCAGAGAATTGGGCAACTAATCTCTGCGTTATCGAAGTACCTTTTACCATTTTTGTTCAGACATTACTTGGATAACTAATGTAAGAAACGTCAGTATACTTATAAACTTTTTACACAGTGTTTAAGTTTACTTTTTATTTACTCTTTTTACGACTGTGTTTTACCTGTGGATTGATCTGTATATGTGGTGCCAGACCAGAAAGACCAGACACATTGATCTCATGATATGCATACTGAGGGGGTGGGGGTGTGGCTGTCTGACTAGGTTGTGTTCCAGCTGTTGTAGCAGTAGTGGTGCCACTGGATGGGGTAGTGGATAGAGCTAGGGGGAAAAGAGAATGAATGAATAAATATACTATTGAAGAAACACAACAAATGAATACTGAATGAAAGAATGTAAGTAGTAGATTAGAATAATAACATTGTGAATAATCAAAGACTGTCTGCCTTAAAAATAAAAAGTGGTATGTTCGTTCTTAAAATATGCACTGCACTGCTATTTTCTAGACCATCTGGAAATATCAGAATACTTACCAAGCTTTTCTTTCTCTGGTGAAGCAAGCTGTTGTGGTATTGTCTTGAATTTATCTGTATCCCTAAGTAGTTCAGTAGGTTTGATATCCTACAATAAAAACACCAAAAAACAAAGGGTTTTTTTATTCAATCACGAATCAGATAATCTGACAAGCAGTATATAAGAGCGACCATCCAGTCTACAACATTGCCTGATGAAGACTAGCAGTTTGCAGATGAAACGTCGTGTCCCTCTACAAATGACCCTCAATCGTGAGACAAATGAATAAGTATCATTTATTGCTTTTCCACAATGAATTATATTTTTCATTCTTGTTTTTATTGTTAGAAGTAAAAAATTGGGATGGCTTGACAATGCTTGGTGATTGCTTGAGTACTTTATTGTTGGGATCATAAACAAGATTACTTTTTCATACAAGTCAAACCACTATGCCTTTTAGTTTTTTGGATAACATTATTAAAAAATGTATAAATCTATTTCAATAAAATTAGCCATCAAAATGCTGATGCTGAGACAGCTGAAGATCATGGGGAACATTCCATATCCAACAAATAAAGCTTTTGATACAAACTGCAGCTTGAGGATACTCACAGGAGGTGAGACTGACTGGTAAATTATTTATTGAACAGTTGAAACATGTAAAATGCATCTACCCGTAATCCTTGTCTGTCTCAGCTTTCTAATTCAAGCTTTTAAGGCGACTAGCTTTATTCATGGCTTAAAATAACAGTCCGTCAGTCACCAATCATAATGAACATCCAAATTAGTTTTAGCTCGATCTTAATTAGTTTCTGGCTCAACTTCATTGGTCCAAATGACCAGCAAGACAAAGATTTGACTAGAAAAATTACAATTCTGTCCAGACATTGTCTGATTGAGTGGCCTGGAAGTTTCATAAGCTGATTAATCAGACTCACCTTCATGTCAAGGGATAATGTGTTACATAGTACTTCTACCTCAAACTTTAAATTGAGCTGCGAAAAATAATGTCATAATCATGAGATTGCAAAAATCAAATGCATAAAATATACTTAAAATATATAATTTTCTAACCATCCCTCCCCATACAAGGCCCTTCCATGAGATTCACTCTACTCTCACTAGTTGATATTTATGGGGGGAGGGAGGCAAGGGAGAGAAGAACACATCAAACAAACTCAACTCACATATATGGTTTAGTCAGGATCTGGATCAATGACCCCAGTACCCAGTACCCAGTATCCCAGTATCCCAGTATCCCAGTATCCCAGTATCCCAGTATCCCAGTATCCCAGTATCCCAGTATCCCAGTATCCCAGTATCCCAGTA